GGTGAGTGGTGCTGGCTGGTATGGGGATTCAAACCCTTGACCTTGGTGTTAGCAGTATCACACTCTAAGTGAGCTAACCAGAGCCAGCCCTTTCCTTTTTTTAAAAATTTTGCCTTTCTTTGCTGCAGTCTGTGTTCCCAACCCTTATTTTTTAAAAATCCCTCTGAGCCACAGGACATCACTATCCTCACATGTGTAGTTTTTGCTGAGCTCGTACAAGATGATTAAAAGAAAATTGGTAACCAACTGACTGATTGCAACATTTGGGTTTCCTCTGTGGCATATAGCTGCAGGCTGCCAGTCTCCTCTTTGTGGATAATCCTGTAGGCAGTGGGTTCAGTTATGTGAACCAGAGTGGTGCCTATGCCAAGGACCTTGCTACGGTGTCTTCAGACATGATGGTTCTCCTGAAGACCTTCTTCGATTGCCACAAAGAATTCCAGGTAAGCAGAGACTCAGGGACAGCCAAGTAAAGGGCTAGCAGTAGCAGCACTACATCAGAATAAATGCGGGGGCTGGCTGGGTAGCTCACTCGGTTAGAGTGTGGCACTGATAACACCAAGGTCAAGGGTTTGGATCCCTTTACCAGCCAGCTGCAAACTTAACGAAAAAGGATAAAAGTAAACTTTCCCCAACATTCAATGCCCAGCTGATATCAGAGAAAACCTTTTTACACCCAAGATTGGGTTGTGGACTTTTGTTTCTATCATTTGCAAAGACATTTTTGGCTTCAAGGAATGACCCTGGAGTCATTCTAGTCAGGCATAATAATCACATATGGGGGGAAAAGACAAAAGCAGGTTTGTTTTTTCTGGCAATTACATGCAATAGAAATTTGAAATTAATTTGTGTGAATTAAAAGGCAATGAGGNATGGTTTGGGATAGAAAACTGATTGTTACTTTTTTATACTCACCTGTTTCAACATAACTTTGAATAGGGTCTTGTACATGGAGAGTAAGGTTAAGTCTGTAATGATAACTGTGAAAAGTTTTAAAAAGAACAGAGAAGGTTGCCCTACTAGGTGCTGAGCAAGCTATAAAGCTACAGTGAGTAAAAGAATGTGGTTCTGACATAGCCACAGACATATAGATTAAATGCAACAGGATAACGAATCCAGAAACAGATTATATGTATATGCAAATATATACATACAGACAAATACACACATATACAAATCTATAATAGAAAAAGGTGTTTGTATCAATAAAAAAATTAAAAAACAATATCCTAGTAGAAAAATGGGCAAAGAATGTGGACAAGCTAATTTATAGAAAAAACACAAACAGCCTGTGGACATATGAAAAGTCTTTGACTTTTATTAATAAGCCAAGTCCATGAGATTTGCCAATATTTAAAAGATTGATAACACCCCGTTTTGGTAAGAAGTCAGGAAAATAAGTGCTCTCATGCACTTTTGGTGGGGAGGGAAATTGGCAAATCATTTTAAAAGGGCAATTTTGCAATATCTATCAACTTTTCAAATGTATGTGCCCTTTGACTCAATAATTTCACTTCCAAGCATCTGTCCTATGGGAATACTTACACATATGTATGTGTCAGAGGACGTTTATTCCACCGCTGTTTATAATGTTCGCAAACTGAAAACAGCTCAGTCGCTATCATTGGAGGATTACTTAAAGTAGACGCATCCTTCCATAGTGGAAGCACTTTGCAGCCATCATAAAGAATAGAGAGATCTGTATGTACTGGTATGGAAGGTTGTCCTTTGGGTATTAAGTTGTAGGCAAGTTGTAGCACAAGATGAGATAACTTGTTTGTAAATCTGTGTTTGGTGTGTGCTTGTGAAGGCAAAGAAAGTGTTAGAAGAACACAAAATGTTAACTGGTGAGTAATGAGAGTAAAAGGGGGCAAAGTAAAAGAGTTTCCCACCTTCTCCTGTGTCCTCCTGTGTTTAAATTTTGTACAGTGATCTTGTATAAGTTCTTTTTTTTTT